TGATGCCAATGTTCCCTCTAAGCTGTGGAGTCTTGTGAGCAAAAATTCTACTTTGTGAGCTACTGGCATTAAAGTTGTGACCAAGCTATTTGGCTACTGCATAAATTAGTTTGCTCTGGAGCCATCTTTCCTGAGCTTAGAGAAAAATGTGTGAGCCGGAGACTAAAAAACTGTGAGCTAGGTCACACTAACTGAGCTTAGAGGGAACACTGGATGTCTCTACTTTTTATCATGCTGTTTAGGTTCGCCATAAGTATTTCCTAGTAAAAATACAAGTACTGCTACAATGTATGGGACTCGCTCAGCATCAAAATAAGTATTTCCTAGTAAATCACTGCAGTTATTCAGAGCATACTAGTTTTGATGTTCTGGAGGTGTTGCAAAATGTTTACCTCCAACAACACTTGTGCTAAGGACAACACAAAAATTTTGATCAGGCAGATGGTGGAAAACATAGTAAGGACAATAACAATCTTGTTCTTTTTGTTACAAAACCAGCACATCCGGATTGGGGATTGGGGGCTGTTTGCATGATCATCATCATCCTATGGTTTCTGCTAGACTTTCTCATAATGTTGTATTTTAATTAGAAAAATACAAAGTTTCCTACAGTTGATGTGCCATGGTTCCTCTTCCCAATTGTCTTCTCCTCCCCCTTCCTTTTTACGAAAAAATGCTGAATTGCACCCATCTTGCCTAGGGCCTTCTTAATTTTGTCTGCAAATTTTTAGCTGATCCTTGAGCCCAGCTGTTTCATGATCCTGTTTGAAGATTCTGTTCCTCTGTCTTTGAGCATTCTTTTCCAAGATTAGGATGTGCACCGGTCTAAAAGCCAGCATTACTGCTTCTAAAATAAAACCTAGGCCTACAATTCCTAGAGAAAGAAGTGCACGTGAGTGGGAAATGTGCCACAATTAATATTGGAACCACAATCAACAAATGTGATGACAGTTGAACTGGACACATCCTAAAATTACATTGAGATTCCAGTTCAGCAAGACCAATGGGGTGGTTTTAAAAGCTTCATTCTAAAGACTTACTAAGCATAAATGGAAAACTAATTTTTCCTTATCTCTTTTTCTACATTACCAGGAAGGAATGTTCTCTCGATGTAGAAATTGCAGCCAGTGGTTACACTAAAGAAATGCAGGAAGATGATGAACTGCTTTACCCAGCTGGTCTTGATGATGATGGCCATAAAGCTGAGTTTTCTCTACCTGAGCAAGATGCTGAAGGGAAAAAGAGGTTATGCAGTGCAACAGACCAAGAGACAGAAAGAGACTTCACAGATGAAGTGGGAGATACCTCTGAAGAGTTGGAGCAAACCAGTGAAGAAGACAGTGACGATGAAAGTGAGCAAAGTTTAGATTTGAAGGAACTTCGCTCTGCCTTACAACCAGTTGAAGGGCAAATTATTGCTTCAGGAGACGGGGCTAAAGGTGTGAGCTCTGTAATTGATTTTTCAGAGGATAAAAAGAAAGTTGAAAAATCCACCAAAATTGAAGATCAGACAGGTCAGGGGGAAGATCCTGCTGACAAAGAGAATGAAGATGAATGCCCTGATCTGGTCGACTTCTCAACATTAAACAGAGAATTCAGGCCTTTCAGGTATAGATCTGTATTGATTATTGAGGAGCTGTTCATGTGTGTGTTCTTTGTTTTCCCTTTCCAAGAGATGAGCCCCTTTCAAGTGTTAGGTATATTTCTTTTCAGAGGTCCTGATTTGAATTGAAAACAACATTTTTATTCCAAAGCTTAGACTGTGAGGTAGGTGGGGCTGAGAGAACTCTTTTGAGAACTGCACATCAGAGAACAGCTCTGAAAGGACTTGTAACTGACCCACACCAGCAGCTGCATGTGGAGGAGTGGAAAATCAAACCTGGTTCTCCCAGATTAGAGTTCGCATTTCTAACCACTACACCAAACTGGCTCCCTTTATACTAATTGAGTTGCTCATTTGCAGTTGGTAAGTGTACTTGTTCCATGAATAAATATTGACACATGGCCTATGCTACTTTTGCATTGATATTTCATGTTTGGCAGTGTCATAAATGGCTGTACTTGTGGACTGAGCACCTAAACATCTCCTGAATTTCAGCTTTCAGAAGCTCCTTACCAGTTCTTAACTTTCCATCATTGTATATGTGGAATAACTGATGCACCTCAGCGAAACTGTTATTTGGTAACAGCATAGTTAATCTAAATGATCGCCAGCTTACTCAGACTGCATTCTGTTCAATAAAAGAAGCAGTTTTTCAGCATCTCATATAGGAAACTGAAATGGGAAAAGAGGTTGACAGACATTGCCACGGCCACGTCCTGCAGTGGAGGTGAACAATACATGTTACAGCCAGTTAGGGCAAAGTAAGTATCCAGACAGATGTATAAGTTGGGGAGACAGCCTGTGTCAGTCTCCTGTCTATTGGTAAGTATTACAGATAGAAGTACCACTATTGAACTTCAGGATGCTGAGCAAGTCCCATACATTGTTGCAGTACTTGTGCAGGCGTCATTTCCTAATGGATTGGGCCTATTTGAAGGATATGTCTAATTGTTCCACCTGGATTATGTTGGAAGAGTTTATTGGTAAATGTCTGATTAAAAAGGGGCTGACTGCAAACATAATGTCTTTATTGCAGAGATAATGAGAGTGTGTTTCACATCAATGACCACAGAACAAGAACTACAAGCATCACTTCAGTTGGCAGTGCTGGCAGTCGGTCAACAATTCCTCCAGTAAGTCTGACCTAATGCTTTTAAGGAACAGTCCACCAAGCAGCTTTCCTACACTGCTCCTCTTCATTTCACAGGGACTCATACAGGAGAAATTCTTTCTGGGTTGCTTTTTGGTAGGTTCCCTCCCCACTTTCTCAGACATTTATTTCAAACGTTGGGCCATTGGTCAGTTCAGGATACTTGGGGCACAAAAAATAGCTGCTCATTTTGACTACTTAAGTCTCAGTGATGGAGGTGCCTCATCTGTGGTTAAATTCAAAAATGTGGTTCATCTTCTAATTGAATCCAGCTCAGTTATCTCTTCTGAAAGAGCTGAATACTTGAATTTGAGATAATGAACTGTCATCATTGACGCTAAGGTCATTAATAATGGGATTCTTAAAAGATAACATTTTTAAAAAATATTCATTAACTTTATCTAGCTTTAGGATAATGCATTTATTGCATAATTTCAAAGTGTTGCTGCTTCAGCAGCTGCAGAGTGGCCTGTGCTTTTGACAAAATCTCCAAATTAGACGACAATTTATATACTGTAGTACACTATCAAGGAAAATATTTTTCTGCGAACCTGCATGGGGCATATTCACTAGCTGCTTCATTTGCGCTTTCACATGCTTTTACAGAACCTTACAGTCCACTGCCTCCAAGTGGTTGCACAAGTTACAGCGCAAGGGAGGAGGATGACAAGGGATGAAGCAGAACATGGATTTTCACCATAGGGGATAAAAACAGCCTTGTGCTTTGTTAATCGTAGCATGTGGCTGGAAAGGATGGGAAAGTAATAGAAGGTGCTATTTAAATTTTTCATTGTCAGAATTTTTGGGGGGAGGCTGCATTGTAGATTAATTAAGCTTTGCAATTAGAGATCATGAACACAAAGAGAATCTTCCAGCATTATACCGTGTCTCAGATTAGAGCATTCTTTCTGGCTTGAATGTGTGTGGGGGAGAGAGGAAGTTCTTCCTCGGCTTCAGTGGATGCCCAATATGACCCTCATCTCCATCCAGCTGGATTGAGAGCATTCTGGCTGACACAAAGAGAATCTTCCAGCATTATACCGTGTCTCAGATTAGAGCATTCTTTCTGGCTTGAATGTGTGTGGGGGAGAGAGGAAGTTCTTCCTCGGCTTCAGTGGATGCCCAATATGACCCTCATCTCCATCCAGCTGGATTGAGAGCATTCTGGCTGACACAAAGAGAATCTTCCAGCATTATACCGTGTCTCAGATTAGAGCATTCTTTCTGGCTTGAATGTGTGTGGGGGAGAGAGGAAGCTCTTCCTCGGCTTCAGTGGATGCCCAATATGACCCTCATCTCCATCCAGCTGGATTGAGAGCATTCTGGCTGACAATGGGGACCATTCTCTCTCCTCTCATTACCAGCTGGGAGACCTTAGGAGTAGGGCCTGAAAGGAAAATAAATTCTGCTGTTGCACTCCAGAGATCTGCTGACAAAAGGGATGAACCCAAAACAATAACTTCTTTGTCTTCTGAATTCTTAAAATTCTTCATATAGAACTGCTGCTAGGCTGACTGAAAGGATGGAAGCACAGCAGAACTCTGAAGAAATCTTGAGATTTGAAAGCGAGTTAGCTGCACTAACAATTTCAGACATGCATATTATATAGCGAAAATAAGCAAAATGGATCCCTAGTCATGGTGTGTAATTTTTTTAAAGTAAGAGCTCCAAAAGACAAGAATTCTCATTGCACATAAAAGGCCCGGTTTTTCAGCCTTGCAGAGTGTAAGGACACTTCAGAGGTACAGTTGGAGATGGAGCTTTTCTGTCCATCTCCCCAGATGTAAAAGTACCATGTCTTGCTACCTGTTCCCAGGGTAATTTGTATTAGGAATTATCTATGAATTTCTGAACCTTACTTTCTTTAGAACACAGGTAGAAAATAAATACAAAGGGTGTGATGTAGTGACCTTCTGAATTATCCCCTGCCACATGCATTAATCCTGTATACAGAATTCTCTCCCAAGTATGGAGAACTGCATGTGTAGACTGGATCATAGTCAGAGATTGTGAGACATCACATTATTTCTGAATGTGAGGACTATTAACCTACCAGACATGAGTTTGGTAATAAATCAGAATAAGCAGCTGTTGCTAATCCATTTAGTAAAGCGCTTATTTCCCAGAGCTGATCTTAATAGGCTGCCCTTTGATCATTTGTATCTTTCCTAAGTATAACCTTTGCATCAATGGATGCTAGAAACATATATGTATAACTGGCCAGGGTGGCTGTTCCTCCCATACCCTGTGCCAGAGTTCTGTAATCCTCCTAAAACTAACCTGTTTTCTTTGCCTGGTTCAAAGAAAAATTACAGTGCACACTTGGTGAGCAATATTGATATAAGTTGTCAGGAATCTATTACTGTTCTCAGCCACAAGGGGGAACACCCTGCTGCCAGCCCATTTCTTAAATCTGTTAAGACTACTTTACTATTATAGAGCAATATGCTTTTCTTTCCTTCAGGGTGTGAGCACACCAAGTAGCTCAGGTTTTGGTTGTGAAATTAGTCCAAGAACACTGCTCTTGGGTAAAATCTGCTAAGATCCAGATCCATTTTGTGAAGTGTCAACTACATTATACTTCTAGGTATGTTCTGTGTCTCACAAACAGGACTGATGACTGGGTTTTCAAAATGTCTTACAGGAACTGGTAAAACAGAAGATAAAACGTCAGTTGACAAAACAGCAAAAAGCTGTTCTCAGACGGCGACTGCAGAAAGGAGAAGCAAATGTTTACACCAAACAGCACCGGGAACACATGCAAAATATTAAGTCTAGTGTGGATGCTGCGAGTTTCTGGGGCTGACTTTCTATGGAAATATTTTTCCATCTTGCTTTGCGTCGCACAAGTCAGTGAAAGATGTGGTTCTTTGACTCAACTGTTGCATTCTGTCCTTTATATTGTATAGAGTATGGTTCAAAGTTATGTAAGAGATAAAAATTAATCTGAATATATTAAAAGGAGAGCATAGAGGCTGAAATCCAAAGGTCTACCTAAGGGGGCGGGATATGCCCAGAGGTACTTTTGACTTTGAAGAGAAGATCCCATGTTTGTTTTTGAAAGTCCCCTCTGTTTTGGAAGTAGTTTGCCACACTGCTGTTTGAGGAATACAAACATAAAACTCCTTTGAACTTGCAGATAATATAAATCACTGAAGTCATCAAAGAAAATAAAACTGACCCATCATAATCAAGCATTTTTTATTTCATCTATTGCAAATGTAACAAATAAGAACCTTTTAAATGATTTATAGTGCAATCCTTCCTATACATGTTTACTCATAAACAAGTCCTGCTGGCTTCAGCATCACTTACTCCGTGTTCATGGGATTATCCACAGGTTTAAGCAGCTTGGGGCTGGCACTTCATGAGCAGTGTGCAGTTCACTTACTGCGATTTTCATGGTGTGAGTCCCATTGCCTTCACTGCAACTAAACTGCCTCACATTAATGTTAACGAGTACTTTGATTTAACGCCTCTGGCAACATTTTCATTTCTGGGCTTGTACAAAGTTTAGCAAACCTTTCCTGTATAGCTGAGCTTTGAACCCAGAAGCTCTTACTTGCTTTTTCTCCATACCCTCAATGTTTTGTATATAAATCCTGCCCAAACTGACAAGTAATAAAAATGATGTTGCACAGGCCCGGCAGGCACTCCATCTCTAAGCAGGTCTGTGCAACTGCTAATAAATTTTGTTCTTATGCATTCAACAACTTAAGATATGTCGTATTACAGATCTTGAAAACTCTGTAGCCAGAAGGAGTGGGATCCAGTGTTGCCATTATAGAGCATGTAAACATTTTTTGTCTTTTTATGAAAACAAGAATGTAAGTGTAGTTGGTCATGCTGGATCTAACTGGGGAGTAGACATTTGTGAAGTCTTAGCAAGCTGCTGTGCTTTATTGAGTGTGAATTTTCCTCCCTATATCTTGGTAGTGCTGAAAAATTGGTTGCACAAGATTCTGTGTGGGCAAAAACTCAAGAGGAGATAACAATAAGTTTGACCGATCCTAAGCAGTTACTGCAGTCTTTTTCTTACATTTCTGCTTGCATCAGAGGTCTGATACAAGTGGTAATTTTGTGCTGGATCCAAGCCTCGAATTCTCAAATATTCCAGAAAAATGGGTCCTGGTCAGGTATAATCATTGCATTGTGATATGCTCCAGTTTCTAGTAACAAAACGACTTCACCATTTGTTTCTTCTTGGGACAAAGTACCAATAAACTGTATTAACAGGGCAAAGAATATAAATATGGACAAGTCCTGGCACTTCTCCGGGCCAGTTTGGCTGGAGATCCTGGAGGGTTTTTGGTCGTCATCTGGGCGTGGAACAGTGGTCACTGTGGGTGTGGAGGGGGAAGTATTTGTGAATTTCCTGCATTGTGCAGGGGGTTGGACTAGATGACCCTGGAGGTTCCTTCCAACTCTAATCTGATCAAGGAAGACAGGGTTGTGTGAGCTTTATTCTGTGTGCCTAGAGTCACTGTTGCCACTGAGCAGGCTTAATCCCATCCTGGTGGTGTCCCTCTGCTCATCATAACCGAAATCCTAATGGTACAATCATTTTTCACTCTTATATTTTTATTTATTGAAACATTTATATCCTGCCTTACTCCTTGTGTTTCAAGTTGGCTTACAATAATAGTTTAAAACATTTTCAGTTAAGCCCTAAAAATAGCATACCCCAAATCTCTCATCCTACCACCACCACCACCACAGAATGACAGATGCGACGATCCTTTAAATATATTGCAGGGCCAGTTGGTCTGAAGGTGGGGGAGACTGGTAAATTTGAAGGAACCTTTCAGACGCTTCCATAAGAGAAGCTAGTTTATGCTTTCCTATTCCTCGCAAAGAACTGCAGTAGTGTGGGGTGTTCATACAGACGAAACAGCTTTCAGAAAGCAGACATGGCTGCCAGAACATTCAAGTCTTTTTAAACCCAGTGCTTTCAAGGGAAGCAGTCTGCATGCTTACCTTCAAGGTGCATGATAAGTTATGCAGAGGCATGCTTTGAATCAGTCGTTTGAATTTCATTCTCCACATTCTTACTTGAAATCTGTGGAGTAAGGTTGAGTTTGTACATGCCCACTTATTCAATAAGCAACAGCAAGTAGTGTACACAAACAAAATTACCGAAAGAGCTTCCCCCCCACCCAGTATCACCAGCAGTCAGTACCCAAAGAACTATAACACTTGCTTTGCAAGCTCAATGAGGGCTTTAAGTTTGTATTACTGAATGTATTATTTTGTAAGTGTATTTCTCAGAGGCTATATTAATAGGTTTAGTGTTGGATATAGTATATCCTATGCATAAATCTTGAGAGAAATGTTTATTACATGATGGGTAGAAGAAATTAAAACAATTGCAGTTCTTTTAGAAACAACCTTTCTTACACACCATGTAAATAAGTGAAACTAGTAATTTGGCCCAAGAAAGATAACATACAAAACTGACTTCTTCTCAGGCCTTCATTTCACCGTATGGAACACAAACTCCTCAGCAGATACTCATACCATTTCTACAGCTCTAAAATGAAATTTTGATTTATTCAGGCCAAACTGAGTAATACAAATTCTACTTGTTTGAGTTTACAAAATTTAGCTTTCCTGCTTGTAGAATTTTAGTGTTAACTCTGTGGCCAGTTCCGCTCATGTACTTAGGCTGCTTAAAGGTTTTAGAATTTCCATATCTAAGCGTTGGCTCCTGTTTGTAGTAAAGTGACAAGATAAAATGACCAGCTCCCCCTCACTAATGGTCTTCAAGCAGAGGCTGGACAAATACTTATCAGGGATGTTTTAGGCTGATCCTTTATTGAGCAGGGGGTTGGACTAGATCAGGGGTGTCAAACATGCAGCCCGGGGGCCGGATCAGGCCCGCAGTGGAACTGGCTGCCTTCTGCAGCTTACAGATACATACCTGAACAGCACTAGGTTCCCTTTAACCTGCGCCAAGATGCGCTGGCGCACTGATTTCCCGTGGCCAGTGCAGTAATTGTTACCACAGCGCAGGGACAAGAGGTTCCCTTCTCAATGGCCATGCAGCACAGAGCCATTTGCTCAGGCAGCACAGAAAAACAGCAGTATGCTTTGTGTTTCCTAATCTGGGCTGGCCCCGCCTCCCCTCAGCTGCAGTTTGCTTGTCCTGTGAAAGGGGGCGTTGCTATCCTCCCCAGCAGTCCTCTGCCTCGTGCTCCTGGAGATACCCTGACCCAGAAGGAGGACTGCTCCGTTGCCCAGCTTCTGCCCTTCCTAAGGTGAGCTGCTTGGTTGTTTGTTTTGTCTTGCGGTGGGGAGCTGGGCTCAACAGCATGCTAGAGGTGATCTGGTGGCTTCAGGTGCTTTGCGAAGTGACTCTCTCTGCACTTAAGCCTGCAAAGTTAGTTGGAAAATGTGGGGGGGCGTTCTCAGTAGTGTGCTAGAGGCTATCTGGTAGCTTCTGGTGCTTTGCGGAGTGACTGTCTGTGCCCTTAAGCCCTTAAGTTAGTTGAAGAAGGTGGGGGGGGAGCCAGGCTCAGCAGCCTGCTACAGGCAATCTGGTGGCTTCTGGTGGTTTGTGAAGTGACTCTCTGTGCACTTAAGCCTGCAAAGTTAGTTGGAAAAGGTGGAGGGGGGGGAGCCAGGCTCAGCAGCCTGCTAGAGGCAATCTGGTGGCTTCTGGTGCTTTGCAAAGTGACTCTGCCCTTAAGCCTGGGAGGTTAAGTAATACAAATATGTTTCATATAAATATAAATAAGTTTAATATATGGCTTGTGATACAAATGATAATAGTTGATAAGTTGTTTGCATGTTTGTACACTTTAATAATTTTTTTTAATGTCGGCCCGCTCACAGTTTTAACGCTAGGACCACTTTTGGCTCACGGTAAAATTTCTGCTCACAAGACTGCACACCTTAGAGGGAACCTTGGAACAGCATACTCAAGATTTCAACAGCACAGATATTTTGATGCAATAATTCAGAGCAAGAGGTGTCAGTTATCAGACTGCTAATGTTTGAAGCATGTTTTTATTTTAAGTAAAACCCTTTGTGTTTGTGTCCTTTATAAAGTTTATATCTGCTACCTGGCATTACATTTTATCACACACATGGCCCGGCCCAACAAGGTCTCATTTATGTCAGATCCGGCCCTCATAACAGATGAGTTCGACACCCCTGGACTAGATGGCCTGTGTGGCCCCTTCCAACACCATGATTCTATAACTCATGTCTGACACAGTGTAGAGTAACTGGCATTCTAAAGCTGTAAGGTGGGAAAGGAGCTATATTATCAAACATGATTTCTGCAATTCTTTTGATTACAACCAGAAGAAAAACATTTAATATCTTTTTATTTCCTCCTGTAAATAAATTCATACAATTCATTCTTATGTGAAAAATGATGGAAAAGTCACTCTTGATTTCTTTTAAAACTAAGCATCCCAAAGGAAGAAGAAACCCCCTTTCTAAGGAATTTCCATTCTGATAATGCAGTCTTTCCTTCTGTGCTTATTAGCGCCATATACACAAAAGGAACCCTTGTAAGCTTCTACAGAGGTCTCAGCTCCCCTACCGTCCTTTACGCCGGCATGCTGCTGGGGTTAACGTGACATCTTTTCTTCATACCATTTTATGGCGTTATGCCATTTCAGTTTAAATTGTTCATCTGATTTACCCGCCAAAAACATATTCAGCTTATCCATTTCAATTACCTCGAATAGATTTCTAAACAAATCTGCCTTACTCAGTATATTATCAGATTTCCAATTCCTTGCAATATGTATTCTTGCATTATCAGAATTTCCATTCTGATAATGCAATCCTTCCTTCTGTGCTTGTTAGCGCCATATACACAAAAGGGACCCTTGTAAGCTTCTACAGAGGTCTCAGCTCCCCTGCCGTCCTTTACTCCGGCATGCTGCTGGTAGGCAGAACACAAAGCATTGTTCCCTCCTACAGTTCATGCAGTTATCCAGCAATGGATGCTTTTTCAGATCCCCACTGTACAGGCTGTTCCCACAAAGAACAGGAGTATGCCATATACTAGGGGCCTGGGGAAGAACAAAATGCTGGTTTAACTTGAAGAAATATGGGTGCCCCTCCAGTCACTATTTATTTATTTATTTCAATTTCTTAACCGCCCTTCCCTGCTTACGTGGGGCTCAGGACGGCTTACAACAACATAAAATCCAATACAAATTTTAAAAACCCGTTAAAACTACAAGAATTCTATACTAAAACATTCAGCATAAGTATTTACTTTAACAAGATGGCATGATTAGCATTCAGATTTTCATGATTTCCATGAGGGGGAGGGGAGGGTGCCGGGCCGATGTAGAGAAACCGTCACTGGCCTCAACCAAAAGCCTGGTGGAACATCTCTGCCTTGCATGCCCTACGGAACTTTAGTAGATCAGACACGGCACAGATGTTGTCCGGCAGAGCGGATGTTGTCCGGCAGAGAGTTTCACCAGGCTGGGGCCAGGGCCCTGGTCGCGGCCAGCCGGATATCTTTGGGGCCGGGAATCACCAGGAGGTTCTTATCTGCTGATCTCAATGCCCTTCGAGGGACATATCGGGAGAGGCGGTCCCAAAGGTACGTAGGTCCCTGACAAAGGCTTTAAAGGTAAGCACCAGAACCTTGAATCTGATCCGGTGCTCTACTAGCAACCAGTGCAGCTCTTACAGCACTGGATGGATATGTGCCCTCCGTGGAGTCCCTGTAAGGACCCACGCAACTCTTGGCTAGATTTTTTGAGGCAGAGTCTGGGCAGCCACCCATCAACAGGTACAGCTGGGTGTCATCAGCATATTGGTGACACCCAAGCCCGAAACTCCAAGCCAGCTGGGCGAGGGGGCACATATAGATATTAAACAACATTGGGGAGAGAATCACCCCCTGAGGCACCCCACATATTAGTGGATGTCTAGTTGACATCTCTCCCCCTATTGCCACCCTCTGTCCCCGATCATGGATATAAATGAGACCAGCCACTTCGAGACTGTCCCGCGAACTCCTACATCAGTGAGGTGGTGGATCAAAAGGTCATGATTGACCATGTCAAATGCTGCCATAAGATCTAACAATATCACCAGCACTGACCCGCCCCAATCCAGCTGCCTATAGAGATCGTCTGTGAGGGCGACTAATGCCGTCTCCATCTCATGGCCGGGGCAGAAACCAAATTGGAATGGGTCCATTGCCGATGTTTCATCCAGAAAACTCTGGAACTGCTTGGCAACTGCTCTTTCAATTACCTTACCCAGAAACGAGAGATTCGAGACTGGGTGGTAATTAGCTGGATCAGTCAACTCTAGTGTTGGCTTTTTCAGGAGCGGAACAACGACCTCCTTCAGTCCCTCTGGGAAGACCCCTGAATCAAGGAACAGATTAATAATGTCCGCCAGGGGACCCCATATACCTTTGCCGCCAGCCTTCACCAGCCATGAAGGACAGACCTAGGAGTGGTGTGACAGAGTGCTCAGCACCAGGGATTAGAGGCATCAGAGAAACCTCAAGGTCTCCTCCATGGGTGCTGAGTAAAGTATTCACAGTAAGAGAACAGCATGCTCTACGCTTAGACAAGCAATGGGAGTGGAGAGAGTCCCAAGGGATTAATGCAAGTAAATGAAGTTTCACACACACTACTGCCTTGTCTCAGCTGGACACTGGGATTTGGAGAGCACTCCTAAAGCAAAGTTACATTGTTTTAAGCGCACTGACTTCAATGGATTTATAACAGTGTGACTCTGTTTAGGATTGCACTGTTAAAGCATTAATTATGTCATTCTGAGGGCTGGCCATAAGAAACTGTTCTTAATGTTCAGTTTTATTTAGATTACAACATTTTTTAGAGATGAAAATGGATGAGGAAGGAATTCAGCCTCACCATTGTAGCTTGATATATCTTTATCAAGAGCAGCAGTAGAATTCCTGAAATATCTGGTCATCAAAGGTCACCATGAAGTTTATTCAAAGGATGACTTCTGCAGGGCTCCATTAATATTTCATATGTGGTTATCCAAACAAAGTTTACTTTATTTACTGGCTATTTCAGGAAATATAGAGGTTAAGTCAATAATGTTTCTGGCTGTCTTAACAAATTCACATATTAAGGAGGTATGATAGAATTGCTATATCAACGTGCTTCAAATGCATTTTTAACAGTTGTACTTAGAATAAGTTTGTTTATATAATTTTGTGGCCAAGTGCTGCAAACTGGCATAACTACTAAGGAATTTCTTTGCAAGTATCCAATTGGATACTTGAAAAAAATACAGTCACATATGCCAGTTACTCCAGACCAGTGATACTCACTGGCTTGGAGGTCACATGTGGCTCTTCGGCATGCCATCTATGGTTCTTCTAAGCACTGTGGTACACACCCCATGTTCCAGAAAAGTGGGCTGGGCTATTGTCCAATGGGGCTTGTGGGTGACAGGTGTTCCACATCTTGAAGTTTGGGAGCAACCCCCCCCCCCAGTGTGACACCTGTGGCTTCTGATTGGCCATTCGAGATGTGATCAGCTGTGTGGATTAAAATAATGTTAAAGCACCAACTGCCACCACTGTTTTGGTTTTATTCTCTCTTTCCTGGCATATTTTTAATTATCCATCTTCCCCCTGTACTTGAGCTTCCTGTGTGTGTAGCTCCACCCCCTGTGGTGGCCTTTTTGTGGTTGGCTGCATCTCCTGCAGCAGCCATTTTGTGGTTGTGCCCAACATCCTGTGTCAGAATTCCAAAGCTGAGGACCCCTGCTCTGGAGGGACTAGAGGATGCGTAAGTTACAAACCGCCTTAGCTTTATTACCAGGGATATTCTCCAAGCCCCCCCCCCTCCTTTTCTCTGTATCCTCTATGCTCTTATCCCGAAACCTGGACATCTATCAAGGGGATAGCAAGGTGGCCATGGAGAGGAGAGTAAAACTACCCCCATGACAGCCATCCTGGAAAAGAGCAGGCTGTCAGGTGGGTGAGGGGACTGCACTGCTTTTCTCCATGGCTAGCTTGCTTTCCTCCAGGAGCCTTGGCAATCTCATTCGCCCACCTGACCAGCTGTGCTTCATGTTGAGGAGTGAATGTGAAGGCAGAGAAGCAAGCCTTTCCCCCCACTCCAGATATATAACAGCTGCCAAAGGTTCAACAGTGGGGAGGAGAGATAACTATATGCTCAGAGGTACTTGGGTAATTTAAGAGATTATTTAATATTAATAGTTATACCTTATTTTATGTATGTGTGTGGTGGGGGTGGTAGACAGGGCTCACAGTAGTCATGTGGCTCTTTTGGTTGAGTGGGGTTGCCAAGTCCATCTTCCACCCCCAGCGGGGGACTTTGGGGGCGTTCCTGGAGGGGGCAGGGCATCCCCGATGTGATGACGTCAGGTTGGGGACGTCCGCCGCCCCCCCTCACCCGCCCATGTGCCAGATCTCCAGAAACGGCAGTTCCCTGCACTTAAAGGAGTTAGCGTTTCCCTTTTAAATGCAGGAGCCGGCATTTCCCCTTTAAGAGCAGCCGCGTTTCCTTTTTAAGAGCTCGAAGCTGGCATTTCCCTGCAAGCTTGCGGAGGAAACATGGGTTCCACACACTTAAAGGGAGAGAGATGGGTGGCTGGGTGTGTTGGGGGCGGGGCTTCCCCCGCTGGCCATCTGGCCGGCAGCGGGTAGAACCCCCCCAAAAAACGGGGGACCCCTGGCAAACCGGGGGGTTTGGCAACCCTATGGTTGAGCCACATAGCAAGTACCACTGCTCTTTAGACCTTTATTAATATTTGTAAGCACATAAATTCAGGGTAGTCAGATCACATCATTGTTACCTCAGTTCTTACTCAACTCATCAAACATATCTATGGCTTCCTACTAAGATGTGAACGTAGCTGAGAAAAGTAAACTTTCCTGACTTGTCAAGGCTGTTGAGTTTTTTGTTGTTGTTCTTATGTGACGAAGTCCTGGTTCTGCCAGGTGGTACTATACAGACCTGCTTTTCATCTAAGGATGACAGAGAAGGGAGAATATTAGCTTTGTTTTAGGTTTTGTTTAGATTTTTTTCCACCTGAGTTCTTCCCTTAAAGGCCTTATAGTGTGCCATGCATCCTCATATTTCCTCTGATTTCCCTGCCCTAGAGCCTGGGCAAATGAAAGAATTGGATTTCTCTACCTGTAATTTACTTGCAAGAAATAGCTATGGGGAGGAAATGGATCAAGACCACAGTTGTGCTGGAAAAGATTTAATTCTCCCCCTTTGTAACTTTTTAACCAAAAACATTTCTCTGTGTTGTTTCAAATGCTACTTTGGATAAATGCAGTCTTTTCTTGGCAAGGCATAGCATTTCTGTTTTACCTTAGGGCTGCTGTATCCTTCCAGAAGCCATATGTAGTCTGCCAGGCGATGTATTTAAATCATTAATATATTTTAAATATTTAGTGCAGTAGCACCTGTGTCTATAACCAGTATGTTAGTGGCCTTTAGTTCAGCCTGAACAAAAATCACTACACTACACTTTGAAGAACAGTTGAGCAAAAGCATGATTTCTAGGCATTCAGGGCAAAAGGTAAAATAGGTTGCATCACAGTACATATATCACATATTTGGTTAATAATCTTAGTATATGCTTTCATGACATTTAGTCTGTTACATCAGAAGAAAAAGAAGCAAATCTATTAGCATAGGTCAGATTACAAAGGGAGGCTCCTTTTTCTAGGTAGTTTGAATCATTCATGTTCAGCCTGACCCTATGCATGTGTACTCATTAAGTGCAAAGAATTTCAGACATAGAATGAAACCATTCAGTGACAAGATACACAACAAATTTGTAAAATCGAATCCATAGGGTCATCCATAAAACTAATTTTTCATCATTAATTGAAACAGATATTTTCAGATTTGATCCATGCATAACAACTATATTCAACCACTTTTCCCAACCAAAATGACTATTTTATGATAAAACTGCAACCAATTTGTACAGATGGAAAATAATGCGGATTGAGCAAAAAGCCTGAATAAGAAAAACCACATATACTGGCAAATCCCATTAAGTGTGCTTTATTTAGCCAAATTAATCAGATACCCTAGAAGACCCACTGAGGGTGTAGAGTAAGACGTTTGTTTGTTTTTAAGTAACACACCTTAAGTAAAATGACAGCTTGAAAATGTCTTCTGCCATTGCTATTTTCCCTTCTCTCTATTTTTAAAACCCAGGATCCTTGGGATCGCCTATTAATCTTCACTCTTCCTGAACAGAGTGGAGGTAGATTCTTATTAAATCAGCAGAAACCCAAACTTTGTCTGGTTTAGGAGCTCCAGTCAATGTCAGGGATGAAAAGAGGAATGTCTTTCACATGATTAGCTTCTCCAGTTAGCCGGTAGGTGGGTGTGTTTAACAGAAGAAAGCAGTAGGAAGGAGCCTGTCAGCCTGCCTTTCCAGCTAATTAGCTCAGCATACAACAAAGATAAGCGAGCCAGGGAGGAGGACCCCCTGAAGGGTCTTTTGAATCTGGGCAATGTCTGATTGGCAGATGCTGAAAGAGATTCCTGACTAATCCAGTTCATCAATGAACTGCATAAATTCAGTACAGGACTGGAAGAGTTTAGGCATGAGGACAATCTGTGGCTGCCGTCTGGAAAAGGCAGACCAAGATGGACAGAACCTTGGAATCTCTACAACATATAATTTCCCAAGTCCTGCCTCACAGAGACCCTGCACTTGCATTTAAAGACTGTAAGTACCAAACAAAGTTCCTAGACTTCCAAAATGTAACTTACATTCGTGTCCAATTTAAACTTGCAATGAGGCATCGCACAGGGCAAATTGGACACTGCTTAACAAATCTTAGAACATCTTCCATCAACTGTTTCTTATGATGCTGATCAAGATAATTTTTGCTAATGCTAATTATTTTCTTGTGAGGCCATTAAAAGTCCAAAGAATATTTTTCATCTTCTGATTAATCATTTAATGCATTGGCTATTACAGAGTGTAATGCATTTATCACACTAATTTTATGTCTAGGAAAAGTTTGTTGGATTGAGAATTTGCTTTTAAACTACAATTTTTTAAGGTTAGCTTTATGCTTGGGTTTTATGTATGTGGTTCTTTAATCAAAGCATGCATTATCTCACAAATACAGCACATGAGTTATAAGATTAGCTCTCACACAATATCTCTTTCTTTTATGTATCTAACCATAGCCTTGTTTACAAGTACTGAGTCTATATTAGCAAATCAAATACTAAAAAGTTTCCTTGTTTACAAGTACTGAGTCTATATTAGCAAATCAAATACTGAAAAGTTTCCTAAATTTAGCTCCATGAAGCTGCCTTTCGGTGTCTGTGGCTATTATCTTCCTAAACTAGTTTTCATCTCTGGAAAATACAAAGTCTTCATTTATGACCACCACAGAGATATTGTTGCTTAAGATTAATGCAAGAGTAAGATGCTACTGTGTTTGGGGAAGGGCATCAGAATATAGATTGTAGTTATTCTTTGCTCAGAGAAGCAAAATTCCTGAACAGTATTTATAAAATAAAGAAACTCCAGAATTTTATATTCCCCATTATAAATGGAATATAATGGAACCACAAATCAATCTCCTCCAGATCAAAGGGAGGGGGGAGGGGGAACATACTGCTTTTTGGTAAATTGTAGAACCTGTCACTTATAACGTTCTCTTATGGTGCATTGTGAAAAATACTCTGCTTCTTTTGTTGGGTAATTTTTTATAATGGAAGTTCATTGTCCATCTGTTTAACACTGTGGGAATACAGGGGAGAAGTCTAGGTTTTGTTTAAAGTGTCTGCTTCATTCATTTCTCAGTAGCTATGTTAAGTGTTAATAACTTCAACTTTGTGCATTCTTTCAAAATGAGTATGGCATGAACCCCTTTGAGTAAGCAGCTGGTGAGGGAGAGAAGTTGTATACTGAGCTCTTATTCCATATGTAGTTTGACAGGAATCAAGAGTTAGACAGATAAACACAAATAGAGCTTCCTAGGCCACCCAGAAGGAAAACTCTGCGCTGTAATGGCAGACCTACATCGAGCTGCAGTTTTTCTTCAGAAGCCTTGTGAGAGCAGATGCATCTCATAAGTAGAAAGAATTTGGTCTAGAAAAGGTAGAATAGGGAGGCACTTTTTTTCTTTCCATTGTGGCAGATTCCTGAAGATCATCTGACAAGGTTTTGATTGAAAGTGTATGTACTAGCCTCTCAGACAAAGTTATTGTGACCACCCACAGATCTGTGGGCTGGAAGAATAGCTATAATAAAGCAGAAACACACATGTCAAACACAATGGGGTTACAATACCCTTTTCACAGGAATCTTATTCCAGCATGGGGTCGGCCGATAAAAGCCAGTCGCATGAGAGAGAATATAATGTCCTTAAATATACCAGATATCTTAGACGACTTCTTGTTATGTGTTATCTGCTTCCCTTAATGTGGAAGGTAATGAAAATACAATCATTAATTGTATGAGAGGTGTTTAGAATCTGTTTTGCATCTTTCCTTCTCCACACTCCCCTTGGAAATGTAGGTGGGGTTGAGATGGTGTTTAATCTCCATCTCAGCTTTAAGGTTATAAACATTCACATACCAAGTTTGGTTGTGATAGCTCAGTGCTCAAGGGCAAGTATATTGCTCTGTGTTCTGCATCTTTCCAGACCTCTTGGAAATAGGTGAAGTGATGAAGCTGAGGTTTGAACTTGAACTATAGAGTTGTGGCCCAAGCATACACAGAAGAAGAGAAGAAGAGATTGGATTTATATCCCGCCCTTCACTTGGAGTCTCAGAGCGGCTTACAAACTCCTCTCCCTTCCCCTCCCCACAACAGACACCCTGTGAGGTGGGTGGGGCTGAGAGAACTCTGACACAAACTGCTCTTTTTCAAGGACAGCTGTGCCAGAGCTTGTGACTGACCCAAGGTCACATCAGCAGGTGCAAGTGGAGGAGTGGGGAATCAAACCCGGTTCTCCCAGATTAGAGTCCGCGCACTTAACCACTATACCAAACTGGCAATGTATATCTACATTGTCAAAGCTTTTTGCATTCTCCTCCAAACTTTGAAAACAAGATGCAAGGGTAGAATTGCCAGTCGTGGTCTGGCAACCAGTAGGAGACCAGAAAAACCATAGAGTTTCAGCAATACCTACAAAGGCATGATATCACTTCTGGGTTTTTCTTGGAAGTGACATGACACCATTGGCCCAATGGCTATTTAAAAAAAAAGAGGGAGGCAGGGGATCAGCAACTGAATGCAAATATCAGGCTGGTTTTCAATTAAAAAAAAATTATGTTGAGAATATGTGTGCAAAGTTATTATTATTATTATCATTATCATTATTATTAGAATTTGTACCCTGCCCTCCCCGCCAAGGCAGGCTCAGGGCAGCTAACATCATAAAAGCACAATAACAATAAAAATCATAAACATCTGAAAACAATTAATCAAACAATTAAATAGCAATTCATTAAAACTAACTTACATTATATTAAAGTGCTAGCAGTTAGCTTATAATATCAAAGATGGCCTCGTACATTCTATAGGTTCACTTGATATTCAGCTCGTTGGTCTTTCTCAGTTTTGGTCGACGAGCACAGGCTATCAGTAATAGAAGCACCAGGCTTCTGTTGTTATTGAATTGATGGTATTAATCGTAAGAGATGGTAATAATAGCTGTAGTGGCAGTGGTGGCAGCTCCTAGTTGAAAGCCTGGTGGAAGAGCTCCATCTTGCAGGCCTTGCGAAACTGTAAAAGGTCCCGCAGGGCCCTGATCTCTTCTGGGAGCTCATTCCACCAGTATGGAGCCGCCACCACCAGTATGGAGCTGCCACTGAAAAGGCTCTGGCCCTGGTTGCAGCTAGCCTGGTGTCCTTGGGACCTGGAAGGGCCAGTCAGTTTTGTGACCCTGACCAAAGTGCTCTCTGGGATATATATGGGGAAAGGCGGTCCCTCAGGTATGTCGGACCCTGGCCTCAAACGGCTTTCAAGGTAAGAACCAGCACCTTGAATCCGGTATGCTATTGGCAGCCAGTGCAATGCCTTCAGGACAGGCTGGATGTGGTCCCTCATGGGGAGAACCATCAAAAGTCTGGCCGCGGCATTTTGCACTAGCTGCAGCTTCCAGATTTGCAACAAGGGCAGCCCTAAGTAGAGAGCGTTACAGTAGTCTAGTCTTGAGGTGACCATCGCGTGGATCACTGTTGCAAGGTCCAGTTTCATTTTGGTGATCATGAGAGATGTCATGTTACAAACAGAAAATTCTAACCCCAATAATTAAACCAGAGGTTTTACCATATTTCTGACTCTGAAAGCCAAGGGGAAAGAGAAACTGTATTTTACCTTAACATTTATCACTGCTAGAGACCAGCATTGTGCTGCATTGCCTAAATACCCAGGTAAGCTGCTGCTATTCTAAACATCTTAAAGAGAATAAGTATTGCTACACTTATTTGAAATGGAAATGAGCCCAGCAATAACATAACACAACCACCGCCAGTATCTCAGTGGCAGAGATTTATTCACTACTGCCATTTTATTCACAGCATAAAGATACTTTCAGACAAGAGTCAACATACAATTTAAAAAGAGAACATTTATTTTGTAGTGCCTCAAAACATTTTGGTTTGGGTATCTGATTAGCCCTCAACAATCTTATCAGAAAGACAGACCGAAAGCAGTCCCCTGATTTTAAATTGAGGGTAGTTAACATCAGGCCCAGAGCCAAGGTGGGGTTATTTGGGGCTCCACCCCCTTCCTTAAAGGGCCAGTACCACAAGATTTCCCTCTGAAATTCGCCACGGTGTTGCCTCCTCCACCCTCCCGCTACTTCTCTCTGGGGCTCTCTCTTGCCCTCGGTCTGCTTAGTATGTGGCTGAGGTAGCACTGAAGCAGGAGACACCGGCAAGTCACGTGGCTTCCCACACACACATCCAAGAGAGGCCACTGCCTCAGCGCCTGTTGGGAACCCAGATTGCAGGAGGGAGGGAGGGAAAATTCGGAGCAACCTGCCACCAGGATCCTGGCTACAACCCTTGCCTTGGTTCTAGTTTGGCAAATGCCTGTGTAATGATTCCATGTTTTGGTGTGTGTGTTCCTTTAAATGTTTAGTTTGAATGCGGTAATATGAAAAGAGTGATAGAGGGTGACAAGTGTGATTTGATTGGCTGCTGACTGAGAGTGTGGGAGGAGGGGTGTCTGAGAGGATTCTGTGTGTGTGTCTATGAGGATATTCTGTGATATGTGATAGAAAGTATGGAGGAGTTTTGAAGAGAGTCTGTATGACTCTGAGATGTTTTATGACAGAGTTCTGTGTGTGAAGTTTGAAGAGACAGCATGGTCTATGTGACTTTGGAATTTTGCTTCTAATTCTGTGTGAATAAGACCAACAGTTTAGTCTGTGTGACTAAGAGAGTTGATTCTATTCAATGTGAATAAAACAAAGAGACTAGCCTGTGTGGTTATATATATATATACAGCAGCTGTTCAAAAAAACCAGAAACCTGTTTTGTTCTTTATTAAATAAATCAATTTTTGTTTAAACTTATCCAAGAAATCAGTACAGTACTTCCTCAGGGCCACATAGGCCCCAGTCACACGGGAGGATTTGCCCCACGAAACAGATGGGTTGAGGGCGCATCAAACGGGCGCGATCATACCACAATATCTGGGAAGCGTCATGCACCCATCCCCGATCCATCCCTTCGGCCCGAAAACGCGCATTG